GGCAGCGAGCGGCCCGCCGGGCGGCCCGGCCTGCCGAGCGCGGCCGTGCGCGTGCGGGCGAGGAAACGTGCACCTACCTGCTTTATCCCGCCCGCGTTCCCTTCTAGCTGCGGAGCTGCGTGGGAATCTGGGAGAGCTTTAAGGAGACTTGGTTTTGTCTGCAGGCTTTAGTGGAAAGAGGCAAGCCTCGTGTTTCTTAACCATTTTTTTTTCTTGTTAGCTGTTTGTCTCCTTATACACCTTAGATGTGCTTAGTGGCTTCAGAATCCATTAGCAGGACAGGCCTTGTTAACCACCGCTGCTCCTGGGACAAGGACCACGGCAGTTTTGTAGCTCTGCAGTCAGAGGCTGAGTCGGCCCCCTGGTAATAGCCAAATTTCAGGGGAGGCTTCTCTTGTGGCTCTGAGAGCTTTCATCCACTTCCAGTGTAAAAATCGCCCCAGTGGTACAAATACTTACAGATCCCAACTTGTTTGTGTTGTAAATGGGACCTCGAACTTTTGTTCACATGACTGATAATAAGAAAGAAAAGTAATTTATGAGGTCAATTTCTGAAGTAGAGTTACTGTTCACAGAAGCATCCCCAGGTACAAAACCAATAACAGGCAGGAGAAGATTTTTTGTTTGTCCTCTCTCTTTCCAACCACATCAAATCATCACATTTATTTGCCCCGTATACTTCCAATTAAACCAACAGAAAAGATGAAGTCATCAAGGAGAACTGCCAGTAGAAATGTTAGTACCTTCTTAATACTCTGCAATAAGAAAACTATGTAATCACTTTATGTTGGATAGATTCTGCTTGCTTAAATGTTGGAAATGTGTGTTTATTTTTAGTGTTCCAGGTCTACAGAACTGTTTCTACATCACTGTCACACTTAGAATGGTTGAACAGAATTGCGAGCAAAGATCTGCATAACACCAGTGAAAGACATGTCGTAACTCTAGCAATTGGCAGAAGCGTAAGCTTATCTTTTTGGATTTTCTTCTGGGGAATTCACTTTTTATTCTTTTAACTTAAAAGAAAATGACTACATCAAACATTGCAGCACGAGTGGAAACCTGGCTTTCATCTGCGTGGCATATTAAAGTTCCTTCGACATGGCTGGAAGCATGTATTAATTGGATCCAGGAAGAAAATAATGGTAGTAACTTAAGTCAAGCTCAGATTAACAAACAGGTGTTTGAACAATGGCTTCTGACCGATCTTAGAGATTTGGAACACCCAGTTTTGCCTGGTTGCATCTTGGATGACCCCAAAGGAGAATTGTCTGGTTTCTTCTCAATACAGGTTGATTCTTTAGTTGATGTTAGCCAGCCAGCATATTCCCAATTGCAGAAGCTAAGAGGAAAAAGTACTGTTAATGAAGAAGTAACAGCCAGTACTCAGGCCTTCCAAAAGCCCTGGGAAGCAAAGCCCACTCGAATGCTGATGCTGCAACTGACTGATGGAGTACATCAAATTCAGGGCATGGAATATCAACCAGTTCCTGCCCTCCATAGTAATCTTCCTCCAGGAACAAAAATCACTGTCCAGGGTAAAGTTGCATATCGTCTTGGAGTTCTTTTACTTAAACCAGAAAATGTAAGATTGCTGGGAGGAGAAGTGGATGGTCTTCTGGAAGAGTATAGTCAGGAAAGAGTCCTTGCTAGATTAATCGGAGAAGCAGAGAATCCTAATCCTGTTGGACGAACTGATCATGAACGAGTTCTTCCAAGGCCTGTAGATGAATTAGGGCAAGCTCTGGGCCCTTCAGATGAAGAGCTGTTAGCCAGTCTAGAAGAAAACAGTGAATTTACTTTAAACAATGAAACACGTTTAGAGAGTGGATATTTCAGTAGGAGTAATAATTTTAACACAGCTTCAGGTTCACACCATAGAAATGTTTTGCAGGAAGAATTTGGAAGTCCTTTTCCTCATTCAGATGAACGGATTTCACATCCTGTAGAATATGCTGATGGCTTTTTAAATGACTTTCCTTTGGAAGATGACTTGCTTCTGGAAGAAGAGATCCAAGGAGAATTGGAAGAAGTGCCACCAGAGGTCAGAAACATGAGTTTACTAACTGAGAGACTTCCACATATTTCTAGGAGCTCCTGTGATTCACCTTTCAATGGTACTTATGAAACAGATGACAAGAATGAGAGAGAGAAACATGTAGAAACTATTAACAACGAAAAATCTCAGGGAAGGAGAGTATCTTCTGGAGATGAAAATGGGACAAGTAGTTCTTCACAGTATAGTAGTGTGCATCAGATCAACAGTTGTGCAGATTTCTCCTTGGACAGCACTCCCAAAGAAAGGCTCGGTAATACAGATCTAGCTGAGAACAGACCAAAATTGGAGGACACTTCTGACAGAAGACTGCTCAACAGTGAGCCGGTGTGTTCCTCAAGAACAGAGGCAGAGACAGTTCAGCAGCAGCATGATATACAAACGCTTACCCACAAAGCAGTAGAGGTGCATGACCTTGATTTGTGTTCTCCACCTTTCACGTACATTTCTGTTCTGCTTGCTAAAAAGCCAGAAACTGTTACAATTCTGAAAGCCAAGTGTTTTATTGTAACTCTTACTGGAAAGCTCACAAGTAGCAATGGGTCCTGGGGTATAAAGGCAAAAATTTCTGATGGTTCAGCTCTTCTAGAAGTAGATTTTGCTGATGATATTCTGACGAGTTTGATTGGATTTTCGGTAGCTGAAATGAATGTGTTGAAGAAAGATCCTGCATCACATTCAAAGCTCAAGGATGGTTTAGAAAAATGTCAGAGGCAGCTAATAGATCTCTGTTGTTTGATGACTATAGAGTTCAACCCTTTGCAGTCTAAAGCCACTGTATTAGTTCTACAGGATGCTGATACAAGGCATCTAGAACAACTGAAGAAACGTTTATGTAAATGATGTGTGAAAACTTGTAGAATATGGGTTAGGAACATTTCAGCCAAGATTTCCCTCAGGGGACTGTTCTAAGTCAAAGTTCAGTGATATGAGAAAATTATTGCAAGTGTGAGAAGGAAAGATGATGGGGTGGAGGGGAAGAATTTAGTGTGTTTTTTTTTTTTTTAATAGTGACCATATTTAAATAAACTTCAGACATGTTTGGCTTAATAAATTCTTGAATCACTTTAATTCTGCAAAATTTTCCATGTTCTTGACTGGTGATCAGAAGCAGCAGATCTTGTCAGGAAATGGATATTGAAGAGGTTAACTCATTCTTGCACTTAAAAGGTTGAATATTGACCTGACTTTTAAAATATAGTTATTTGGAAAGTGCCAGTCTTTTTTCATAGGGAAACGATTAAACAAAGAATTATTGTTTAGATGCAAAGTCACTTCTGATGATGCCAGCTTGAAAATTCATATTTAGTGTTCAAGAACCTGAAGTGAAGGATCGCTTTAAATACTCAGGTGAGAAAAATCACTGTATACCCAAGTGAGATAAAAATGTATGTACTTGTTTAAAAAAATATATATATATATATTTTAAAATAAGCATTTATTAACAGAAAGAATGATTGTAGCATGGAGAATCTCTTTTTTCTTCTTAATGCTTATCATTGATAGTAGTTTAGAATCTGCAGCCAAGTTCAGTAATTAGCTTTTATAGTATTTACTAATCTGATCTCTTCTCAGCATAGTTGTATACTTCATGTGTGTCAGATATGCTGTATTTTATATCAGTGTTGGCCTTAGGTTTTGTTATTATTATTATTTCGTTTTTAGAATGTATTTTTATAAAACTGATTAAAGTTTAAATGATTTTTTTTTTCATGAAAGCTAAGTGGTCCCTTTCAAAGGAAATGAGATGTCTCTAATCCTGTCTGGGGTAGAGCATAAATGGCAAGAGAATTCTGTGCAATTTTGATGATACAACATGCTAAGAATGTAAAATTGGTAGCTAAAAGCGGGATTTTCTCTAAGTAAAGTAATGGCTGCTAGACCTTGGTGACTGCTGTAAGAGGTTGTTGCTACAACCTTCTTCCTCTCCCTGTCCCATCGTAGCCTCACAAAAGGAGAGATCCCTTGAGACTCTAAGTGATTTAGGAAAAAGTAGATATTGCTTAAGTAAGGTTAAAATGTTGGGGTGCTGGGCGGGAAAGCTTTCTAAGACATACTCCTTTTTAGGCTTTATTTCATACACTTAAGAAGTTTTTTGTGCTTCCTCACTTCCTGCTTCCTTCTCTGCTCTAAAGAGGACTTGAGCAAACCATGAGCCACAGAGTCATCTTTGGGCCCTAATTTTCTGAGAAGCTGTTGGGGATTGTGCATCACAAAACAAAAAGTTAAAGACTTTTTTTTTTTTTTTTTTTTTTGCAAAACCTGGGTCTTTGATTTAAAAAAAAAAGAAAGGTAGGGAACTGACTAAGCTTCATCTCATGTAATCCCTTCAGGAGGAAATGCAGGTAATGATAAACATAATAAACATACAGCGCAGTTTTACGGAAACACCTTTATTAATATTATAATTATATTGTATATGGAATTAGCTTAATTTCCTTCAAAGTTTTGGGTTCACCCTGAAAAGGATTGAGGTGTGGTAAAGATTCAGATGGATTAGTAGTCCATGTTTTTTATTCTATTTGTGTAAATCAAGAGTGATGTCATGCAAACCATTTAAACGGAATAAGTGATACCTTTATCTCAGCTAATCAAGTAACACTTGCCCCTCCTTTTTGAATCTGTGTTAAGGATTAATCATCTCTGCTATAGAAGTTAATGCTTCACTGTCCTTTGCCTTACAGGCATTGTGTTGTTTTTCTGACTTTTCCTTCCCCACCCCCCTCACTGTCCTTGTCTTCCTGTTCGGAATGTTCTTCCTGGAAGGCTACTGCTGTGCCTGTTTTCAGGCACAAGCAACATCAGTCTCAGTGCCATGGAGCTGTTCAGCGCTTGACTTTGCACAGTAAATACTCCAATGTCATTTTCTGCCATATAATGATTCCTTGTCCATATTTAAGCCTACAGAAATAGTGAGAAATATTACACAGTTTTGTAACTTTCGGACATGAAAAAGAAGGAAAGGAAATGATTTTGAGAACACTTGCTCAGTTAATGGCAGCATGCCAAATAGAAAATGCCATTTGTGATTCTGTATACCAATCTGAAGTCATTGGTTTCTGTTTAGCCCAATGTGTCAGCTCTCAAAACCAGCATCTGTGTTACTATCCAACAGTTTTGCTCTCTGTGTATGTATATTCCCTCTATGTGCCAGGTACATCTCAATTTTTGAAATAATCCAGAGTTCTTACCATGGGCCAAATTCGGGGAACAAGCAGTGTGCTTTACACACTGTGGAACAAATCAGGAAAAAAGGTATGACCGTGTTTCTGCTAGAAAGGGCTGCAGAGTTCCTGTACGAGGTGCTGAAGCCAATTGCTGCGGCAGCCCCTGGTACATGTAGCCCTCTAGCAGAGAGCGGTCCTTACTCTTCCCTTCCTGGTGCTATTTCACACATCCACCTTTTTTTTTTTTTTTTTTTTTTTCGTCTGTCAAATAGAGTTACATATTTGCAGTTTTTGTCCAAATTCAGAAGCTGTGTTCTTCAGCAGTGTTTCGACATTTGTGGAAAACGTGCATTCTGCATTCTTTTGTTACTGATCACTTCTGCCTCACTCACTTTTAGGAGTGTTAAACCTACAATGTTGTCACATGAAGTCTTGGATGTTATTCATAGAGATGGTTAAGGTTTGCTCTTGCTGCCTTTTTCCACTCTTACAGAAAATGAAAGCAATGCCGTGGCTTTGGCTCTGCCAGTTACTTGCATTGGAAGATCTCTTTTAAAACCTCCATTACTAAGGCAGAGAAGGGAGTAGAAGGAAGAATAATCTGTAAGAAATTTAGCTGTGCCCTGCCTCCACCAAGGATATTCCCTGGCAGACGATGGAGCAAGGCTGCGGCCGGACTGAGGAATGTGGCAGGATTCCAAATAAACAAGGCTCTAGAGAACAGCTTGAGGACTCGGCTAATCCTACTAGATAACGATTTGGCCACAGCGATGTCTGTGTTTAAAACCTGGCAGCTTCTCTTTTGTTGCATAAAGGCAGCATTCTAAGGAAACAACAGCTCATTGTAATAATGTCTGCTTAAAATGCCAGGTGAGAATATTAAAGGATGAAGGATTTCCTAAAGTGTGTCCAGTCTGAAAGTGTTACTGTGACTTCATATTAATTTGATGCTTCCATGAAAATTCTCATCAGTTATAGCCTGAAGTTAAATAGAGAATGGAATGCGCTTAGAAGAAAAAGTAATAAAACATTAATAGCTTTAAGCTTTTCCCTGCAGGAAAAGAAGAGTGACATACTGTGAAGTATTTGGGGGTTATCTGGTATCAAGCAAACTTAATGTATTTACCAGGGAAGAAAGGGCAAAACCGACTTTAAAAGTAAATGTTAATTTCAGATCCAATTCTCTGTGTTATAGTCCTAGAAGAAACAGAGTGCTAGAGTAATGACAGCAGGCTGGAGGTTAAGGGCAGCCTGACCCTGAAATTCTTCTTTCAATCTAAAGTAAGAGGTAAAAGTTTTTCTAGAAAATTTCTTCTTGTGTAGCCATTCTAACAGGGCACAGTTGCAGCACGTTCTGTCCAGATCTGTCCTGTTCCTGCTTCTTAGCCTCTTTCCAAGGCTGAACAAACCTAGTTTTCTCTCTCACGTGTTTCAGCCCCCTGAGAGCCCTGGCAGCCATCTCCTGGTCCTGTTCCACTGTTTCCCTGTCTTTCTTGTACTAAGGAGCCTGAAGCTGCACCCAGTGCTCGGCATGCTGTCTCACGAGTGCTGCATGGAGCCGTAGGGTACCTTTCCTGGGCTGCTTTGCTACTCCTCCAGGAGAGCCTGGTGTGTTTGGTCATCTTGGCTGCAATGGCACTCCACTGACTCATGTTCAGCCTGTCCCTCAAGGCACACAGGTCTTACTCTGATAAGCTGTTTTATAACTAGCTGGCCCCCAGCCTATGCTGTTGCGTGGGGTTATTCCCACTTAGATAAAGGCTTTTGCTTTTGCCTTTGTTTAACTTGATGAGCTTTGGATCAGTCTCTTTCCAGTGTCCTAAGGTCCAAGTCCTCTAGTGTTTGGCTGCTCCCTCTTGGTTCGGGGCCTTCTCTCTTGCACTCACTTTATCCGCAGAGCCAGTAATCCAGTGTAGAACATAATCAGATTGGTCGGGCATGATCTGCCCTTGGCAAAGTCATGCGGTCTGTTCCAAATCATCCTTTGGAGTTATCTCTCATTAGATCCAAGCAGATCTCCTAAATACGCTGCAGTCTGCTCTGAAGGTCAATGGTTGTGGTTTTATTATTTGTCTTCCCTCAAAATTTTAAACTCTGCAACTCCTGGTCACTGCAGTCTAGACTGCCCTCAACTTTCCTTTTTCATTTTTTTCTTTTTAGAAGGTCCCACAGAGCAATCTTCTCATTGGCTCATGGATCATGTGTCTTGTTATTTGTCAATTTATTTGTAAATTATTTAGGAGAAGGACTTTATCATAGCTTTCACATTGTAATGCAAGTCACTTAATGTTAGCTTTGCAATACCTTTTACTGTGCTATAGTGTTACAGAATGAGGGATGAAAATAATATTTCACTGAAAAATACTGCTTAAAAAGCAATGGCAATATATAGCCTATTGTTTTGTACCAAATGAATATTAAATCTAAATTTTACACTATTTTCAAAGTCAAAACTCTCAATTTCCAAAATAAAAGGAGAAAAGAAAACTCTGAATATACATAGGGGTAAGACAAATGTTGTCTTCTTTTGGACTGCAATCTGGTTGGATGAACAGCTGAGACATTCTTAGAATGTATGTGTTAGAGTAATTATTTTTATTTCTATGTAAAGAGTCAAAGGTTTTCTTTAGTGGTGTTGATAATAATTACAGGACAAAGTATGAGAAAATGGTAGCATTAGCTCTAGCAGATGGTAGTCTGAT